GCTATGGCGCTCGGCGGCGCCGCCGCCCTGCCGAGAGCTGCTTTACGCGCTTGCGAGTTGAGCGCGGCCGCCGGGTCTCTGCGAGCTGCCGCAGCACGAGTAGCGCCGGCATCCGCGTGCGTTGGGCAGAGCTCCTCCCGGAGCAAGCCCGGCGGCTGCCCCCGCGCCCTGACACCGTCAGTGGTGTTAGAGCGGGCGGTCTGGCCCGCTTGTGGCCACGCGTGCTCGTTTCAGCGGTGTCTGTACAACACTGCTCACCTCTCGCACTTAATAAATGAAAAGCAAAGCAACAACAATAAAAAACAGTAGAAGTAACTGCAAGATTAGTGCATTAAAGTGAACAGGCCATTTGCATTTCAAGTTTTTCTGTTTAGCGGCGAGCTACAGGTGACATATGAGAAGGAAAATGGGCAGAATGATAGTGTTACTTCGGTGGGGGAAGGTTGCATACCGTTAGGGAGAAAAAAAAAAAAAGTTTTAGGTTTTTCCCTTAAAGTTTTCCATTTGAAGACCATGAATATGTTTAGAGACCAAAAATTACTTCCCCCTACCTCCCCTGAAATGCAACCTGAGATATTCTTAGGCTAAAGAAACAGCAAACTAGAAAGTATCACTGAATTGTGTTTCCGTTTTTCCTGGCATAAACTAGTTACTGCAATGTTTCGTGGATGTACTCCAGCACACTTGTGCAGTGATTCAAACGAATGTATTTTGGTTAAACGTACTAAGAGGTAGGTCTTGGCAGAAGTGATTGTATTTCTAGAAAACAGTCTCTAATTGTGCTTTTAATTTTTTTTTTTTTTTTTTTTTTTTTTTTTTTTGGCTACTGATATATCAGAGCCCCAGGAACCACTATGTTATCTTAGTGGGTGTGCAAAAGGAATATTAACAGCAAGTTTTGAATCACCTCCTCATGAGTAGGGAAGAAGAGACTGTACTAACCTAACTTGCTTTCTCTGACATTTTTGTTACTATTTTTGATTGCATCTGTTATATGACCATGATACTTGGATGATTTTATTTTTACTTAATTTAGGTTGATAAACTGTGTTTTTAATAACTTATTTTTTCTCATTTCCTTTTTTTTTTTTTTTTCTTTCTTCGGAAGCTGGAGAATAAAACAGAAGGGAAGCTTCAGAGGCAGATTTGTCAAGTTGTTTTGAACCACTTTGAGAAGCAGTACACAAAGGAACTGGGAGATGCATGGACCGGAGTCAGGTCTGTTTGTGTGTGTGTGTGGAGTTGTTCTGTTTTTTTTGAACTGTCTCATAAAATTCTTGCAAGGAGTCACAGAATGTAACAACTGGTTCAGCTATTTTTAGTTTAGAGTAGCAGTATGAAGTAGTAGGAGACTGACTTTTTGTTCTTACTGTTTTTTCCCTTGATATACTTCTCTGGTGGTGTATAGTATTATGTTACCTGTATTTGTGAGCAGTGTAAAGAAAAAGAGGCTTACATCTTAGATGTTAACTGTTTTGTAAAATGGTGGTCGAAAAAGCTTATATGCGTAGTAAGAACTGCTAGCATTTTTTCTGCAGCTTAGTAGTATGTTAAGAAACTAAGACAAAACTGTTAGGAGTGAGGTATCTCCTCTGGCTTCTTTCATAAGAAGAAATTGAATTTTAATTGCTCTCTCCTGTACAGAAAGAGACATCATTTAATTCGGGCCTTGGTCACACAGCAATTAAAAAAATGGCTGTGGCATTGAGAGGTTTGACTTTCTCTCCCGCTAGCTCATAGGTTATTGCTCATAGGAAAGCCAGCAGATGAGCCCTTCAGGAGAAATTCACTGCTTTAGTTTGAAAGGAAAAATAACATACATGATCAACCTAAGTAACCATATGGTTCTTCTGAGTGCCCTCTTTGGTTTAGCATGTTTGGATTAAAAAGTAGTTTAAAATAAATGTTCCTATATAAAAAAATAGCCCTTTAGAAGCATGACATTTGCTTAACTGAATACATTTTTTTTAACTGAAAATAAATTGAAAAGTAAAAAGTATATTAAAAGCTATTTTGGATTTCATCAATGCCATTTTTTCCTTAAAGACAGTCAATACTATAGTCAATACTGTCTTTAGAATTGAAATGTGAAAAAATACAGAGAGTAATTAAAATGGGAAATGGGGAATATTCACAAAACAAAGATCTATAAAAAGCAAACTGGAATTTAAACAGACTTGTTTGTGCCGTATAAACACTGATTTTTGATTGCCTTCTGGGAATATCTGTTGTCCTAATTTTTCCTGACCCAAGAATTACAGAATACAAATGGGAATTTAGAAAAGAATGCTCATAGAAGGTGTATTTTAGATAGGCACTTATACAGAGATGGCTGAAATGACCTTTACAAAGCCAAAGTGAATTTTGTTTCTGTTGCGATTTTTGACAACTGATGTGACAGTTGTTTCTGGCTCCTAGCAAAATCCTTTGTAGTTATAGCATTGAACTTCATAATGTATAAGTTCCACACATTTTATTAGGAAAAACAAATAATATTCTCTTTTAGGAGACAATGTTTTGAAAAGAAACAGTTATAGAAAGTAGTAAGTTGATTTCCTAAGAAATATATAATCAAAATGATATAATTCTGTTCTGATCTCAGCAAAATCATGCCATGATGAAATATTTGCTCATATGTAAGGAAAGACTTACTGCATTGTGGCAATATAATTTCATCTGTCAAGCTATTAAATAGCTTTTCCTTTCTTTTTGCAATCCAGGGATGTACTCACACAACCCCTGTGCTGGCAGTACGCTGTTCTTCTTAACAAATTCAGCTGGTCCTTGGAGTTGCAGAACACTTTGTGTTTGAAGGGGTATCATCCTCTCTTTCAAGAAACTTTGCCATATCTGCCGAGATCATTGAAGTGTTACATCAGTAGAACTCCTGGGAGATTCCCAGCACAGAAGCACCAGCCTGGTAAACTCAAAGACTATTACCTGCTGAATGCAGCCTCGCTCTTGCCGGTGCTGGCGTTGGAGGTGAAAGATGGGGAAGAGGTTCTGGATGTATGTGCTGCCCCAGGGGGTAAATCAGTAGCCATACTGCAGTGTGCCTATCCAGGTAACGTATTGAGTTGTTACTAGGTGTTAGACCCAGTCCCAGGCTTAATCTGTCTGCGTTATTTTAGTCGTGTTTGCATTCTGTGCAAGATTTGAATTAAAAAGAAAAAACAACTTGTGCTCTAAGTAGTGTCATGTTGTTTGGTAGGGTTTTTTTTGTGACATCTTTTTACCTAAAAGTGGAGGAAAAATGCTGTAGTTGGTCAGATACAGATTATTGCAGATTGACAGATAAAAGGAGAGTAGCTCTACATTTTTCTTTACTGGTTTGTTTATTGTTATTTCTTGTGATATTACTTAAAATAATTTTTAGGCTTCTTGGCACAGGGAGGTAAGTATTCTGCAATTTTAAAATATTTGGGTGTTTTTTCCTTTCCTTTGCTGCCTGCCTGGCCAGTGCTATACAAATAGTGTAAGTAAACTTGAAGTATACGCATGTCAAATGGGATATAAAAGATTAAATGTGTAAGAGCTAAACACAGGAAGAAAGCTTACGAGGATCAGTTGGTCTGTATCAACATTTACGATGTTCTGTGTCTCAATCCACCTAGACATTGCACGAGTACACTAAGGGGGTCACAGCACACAAGGCGGCAGCTGAAAGCCACAGCTCAGTCCTTCCAGGCCAGGGAGTTCAAATAATATGTGCTTGCATGTAGCTAGTCTGTAAAACATCGTTGAGCATAAGTGCAACCAAAATTTTGTTAACAGCTCAGTCCTTCCAGGCCAGGGAGTATGTGCTTGCATGTAGCTACTCTGTTAAACATCGTTAAGCATAAGTGCAACCAAAATTTTGTTGAAACACTTCTGGTTTAAATTTCAAACAAATAAGGAGTTGTATTGGTGGGCTTAGGACACACAAACTAATTTTTTATTAAATAAAAAAGGCAACTAATTAAAGGCAAAAATTCTATAGACAGTTGTGGAAGGAGGCAAGAAATAGTCTTACCTAGAATGTGGATTATGTTTAAAGTTTATTTTACTTTGGAAGTCTATTGCTGCCCTAAAATATTAGTGGGTTGTTCAGTAGGAATGTGTCGAGATTTACTTAGGCTTGTAAATATCCAGCAGTGTTGTAATATGTATAAGAACCTAAGAACATAGTGTGTCGAGTCTGTGGCAGTCCTGGAAAAATAGTAAAACTTTTGAAATTGTTTTAATTCCTTATATTTGTATAAATCCCAGAGAATGTTTACTTTAGTTTTTAATTTCTTAAGGTCAGTTTCACTGTAACGAGTATGATGATTTGAGATCAAGACGGTTGAAACAGACACTAGAATCCTTCATTCCATCCCCTTTGATCAACTCGGTAACTGTTTCTAAACTGGACGGCAGACAGATCGGAGATCTCCATCCGGAATTATATGACAAGGTAACGTTATTGCATATTAGCAAATGGTGTTTCTTTTTCTTCATATGTTATTCTCTTCTTTTTTCAAGACCCAGTAGAAATATCTGGCTTATCAGGAAAACAGAGTCACAAACAGGCTCTGCAGAGCCTCAGCGACAACTGTATGAAGCTTATTGTGCATTTGTTCATGTGCTAGATGAAGGTGACTGTTTAAACTTGGTAATGAATTCTGAAGACCTTATCACTCTTCTTCGCATGATACATAATTAGGAAGGGGGACAAAGCAAGCGTGAGTGTTGTGCAGGTGGAAGGTGCTTGTGGAGTAGTAATTTCTTTCTTTTTTGCTTTTTCCTACGAGAACATTTCAAAATAATAAGCTTTTTTTGCCTTTACCCTTTAGAATAGAAAGGATATTCTAAATGTTTTCAAAAATGAATTGAGTAGATTTTGGCACACAGTATTCAGAAAGTGAATGTTTTTATTTTTAATGATCTTGTTTGCTCATATTGATTTTATAGATATTGGTGGATGCTCCGTGTTCAAATGATAGAAGCTGGTTATTCTCTTCTGATGTTCATCAAGCTACACTTAGGCTAATGCAAAGGAAGGAGTTATCTTCCCTCCAATTACAGCTGCTAAGGTGAGAAGTGCAGAGAAGAGCTACTAAGGAAGCTTCTTCTAGTTAATGAAAATGATATGGGGACAAGGTTTGTCAGGTTTATTATCAAAATCCAAGTTTTACCCAATGGAAAGAGTAAGTGAATAGCTTGTTGCAATTGCTGTTTAGATAGGAGTTAATCTAAGGTAATTTGAATATGGAAATTTTCAGGGAAGGGAGTAATTATCCTTTAGAACAAGAGGAAATAGTCTCAAGTTGTGCCAGGGGAGGTTCGGGTTAGATATCAGGAAGAATTTCACATGGAACGAGTGGTGAAGCATTAGAACAGGCTGCCCAGGGAAGTGGTGGAGTCACCGTCTGCCAGTGCTCGGGAAACGTGTAGATGAGGCACTTAGGGACATGGTTTAGCAGGCACAGTGGTGAGGGGCCTACGGTTGGACTCGATGATCTCAAAGGTCTTTTCCAACCATGATTCTGTGATGCTAGGATGATGCTAAGGTACTGCTCTGCAGTCTTGTTTATGCACTTTTTAACATAAAAGTCCACTTACAGATGTTTCGAAACAACCTAGTATCTTATCAAAATATTTTCTGTGGACACAGATAAAATGGTTCCAGAAATATTCCCCAGTTGAAACAAACACATATACAGAATTTTTAACAGCATCTTTTCTTTAAGCATCTGAAAAAGTAGCTAAGCTGGCCATTTTTTAAATGCATTTCTCTTTTTGTACCATTTCTTCAACAGAATTACCAAATACGGTTCTTTACAGTCTATTTGATCACAAAACTGTCAGTACTACTTACCAGCTGGTCATTAGAAAATGCTCTTCAGAATTTGTTTTCTGGCCTATTTATCTGAATAATTAGAATCTACCGTTGCACGTTCTTAACTGATAGGATTTAACACACCCATTTTAGTGTTTACAGCAAGAAAGACTACTTGTTTGTAATTGATAGCTTATTACAGTCTTCCAGACTGGAGGGCTTTTTTTTTGCTTTTCAAGAAATTCCATCCAATAATTCAATTCAAAGTTTTAATCCATTATACAGAGTCTTCCAGACTGGAGGGCTTTTTTTTGCTTTTCAACAAATTCCATCCAATAATTCAATTCCAAGTTTTAATACATTATACAGTTGTAATACATTATACAAATATAATGTATTACAATGATGCCAGGCATAGGCTAGCACTTGCGAAACATTTGAACCACTTTCTTTCCTACGTGAAAAACTATGGCTTCTCCTTAATCCTTTGTATACTTGAGTATTTTTTTGTAAAGTTAACAGTCATACTTGAAATTACTGTCTTTCAAATTTTGCATTCAGTCTCTTGAGGATTCATGTTTTCTACTTGCTAATAACTTTCAGCTTGAAAATGAGTAAAATATTGCCTATAATTGACTTCTTTAAAAAGAAATCACAGAATGAACTAATAATAATAATAGTATACTATTACATGCAAATTACATGCAAAGGTTAAAATGTTTTAGGAGTTAGATTAAAGTGGAATTTGACGTTTTCTTCCCCAAAAAAGTTTCTGTAGCCATTATAATGCCATATAGGTATTGATAAAATAATAAACTTCTAAGTGCCGCACAGTGATTTACCTTGGAAGTACCCATCTGTCAAAGCAAATTGTGAGAAAAAATAATATTATTTCAACAACAACAACAAAAAAGCTTTTATGGGAAGTTCCCATTGCAGCAGCTCAAGATAGCTTTGCAAGACTTGAGTGAAAAAAGGCAGAAGCCTGTGATTTATAACAGAAATATGAGTGTCTTATTGTGGTAATGCATCATGTCACCCATTCCCTTTGAAGAAATCAATCACATTTAAAACACTGACCTCTTTCAGTTTTCTCTTTTCAATATTTGTCATATAAAATCCAATTTGTGAACCTCTAACAAAAGAAAGCATATATCATGCAGTGAAATTTTGAAAATTTACATAAATCACTGCAGGTTATAATCCTGAAGAACTGTTGACAGCAGGACCCTTGTTTTAAAAGAGGAAACATTCCTGTTGCCTCAAATCATATTTAATTTGATTGGTCCTAAATCTAGAAGAGAACTTTACTTCTGTTGAAAGTATGGCAATAAGACAAAATGTTTTTTGGTATGTAACTTGAAGTAAAAAGATGCTAATTTCCTTTTCTGGCACCATGGGCCTAAGTAGTTATGTAGATTCAGCAGTCTATTGTTATATGCATGGGACCTTTGTTTAGAGTTTCTGGAGCCTATAAAAATGAATGGTTAGATTCAAGATGTAAAGATGGTAAAATTTATCCTGTAAAATATTTGACATGTACTTAGTAAATGGTATAACTGCACTGCACATTTATTGCACTTGTTGTCTGATCACATTAGAATGAATTCACAATACTAATGAAGGTCCAGATCCTTTATATAAGTGAAAAAAGAGCAATGATGAAATCATTTTTATGGCCAGTGTTCAAAATTATAAATAAAAGACTGTGTTTGAGTCTTGGCTCTGGTACTTTGATAGTATTTGCTAAGGTTAAACCAATGCACTAATCCAGCTACGCTGCATCTTTTTTGAGTCAGTGTATGCGCAGTTGACCCTGATATATCTGTTTAGATTATCTTGTGCTTAATCCTCATGGACATTTTTCTCCTCGGTTCCCATACCTATTTTATAAGTATAAATCTGTATCTCAGAAAATTTGCTAAAATTAATGTAATAAATATTGTGTCATTTGAAGATGAAGCTTAAAGTATAAGGGCAAAGCATTAGTGTAGCTGTAGTACATAAGTATTCAAAGAGAGAGTGCACACAAAAGAGGAAAATGGAAAAGGGGAATTTTGTTTTCATTTCTGTCAAGTGACTTTCAGCCCCAAATTTGGATTCCCCCCTTTTCTTTTTGGTTATGGAAATGTTTCACTTGTAATTTGCCCGTCTTCTTGCATTTTTTTAAGCAGATCAGCTTTCAGGGGAAGCTGGGGAAATCATGGAAGAAGACAGGGAAGAAAAAGTATTTTTGCATGGCGGTGTGTTTTATTAAATAGATAGAAGCTTCAAAGAAAGTGGATTTGAAAGAAGTGCTGGAACTATTTTAACTATCTTGCTACTCCAGTGTGAATAAAATTTTAAATGTAAATAAGTAGCATAAATACTGCAAAGCAAATTATAAGCAGTGAGGGCACCACTGATTTGAAGGAAATGGAGATTATAATGATTGTTAATGTCATACCCAAAGCATCGCTGCTGGGTGCTATAATACAAGAACACACTGCAAATCTTGTTATTATTTGGAGTGCTCATGCAGAAAACAAATTGCAAAGTAAGTGAGGAATGGTCATTTCCTGTTACCAAGTGCTGGCACAGAATGCAGCGATACTAATAAATGAATTTATCAATGGTATCAATTCTCAGACAAAAAAATAAACTTACGGTTAAGTTTGAGTGCATAATAATTTAATGGGAAATCTCTTATGGACGTTGTAAGAATTCCCAGACCAGTTACTGGAGCTGAAAGACACAGAGTTAGTGTTCAGCTTGGAGGGAAAAAAAAATACAAGTTAGGAAAAGCAATGAAGGTATTCACGTAACCGTAACTCTTTTATATACAATATCTCACATTAATTAAACAGTTCTAATTGGTATGCAGTAGAGTTCTGGTCCAGAGGAGCTCAAGCTAACTTCTAAAGATGTGCTGTGTCTGACCTCCTCCTTCACTCCCTCCTGTCCTTGTCTTCCTGCGAGTTACTATAAGGCTAAGTCCTAGTTTTGAATAGGGTAAGGGGCTTTCAGGGGATTCTAGTTGCATGAGAAACATGAAGGATCCTGAATACACTGCACTTGTTTTTATTTTCTTACTTGATTTGTTTAGAGCTCTACGTGTTCTCATTTTTCAGAACTCAGGGTTATAGTTGGCTTAAGAAAATAGGGAAGCACTTTATGCTTCCTGGTGAATGAAAAGTTTGAATCCCTGCATTGCTTCTGAATATGTAAGGAACTATGGCTGTCTATTTACATATTTAGCTTCTGTTATATCCCCTGGGCAACTGGAGTGCAATGCCAAGATATAATGAATAAGAACTTCGTTTTGCTTTGAATGTCAGTCATAAAATGGTATTTGAAATTGCTGATTCGTTCTTGCAAGAAAAGGTTACCATAAATTATTTGTATTTATTGCGGAAACATTTTTGGGGGAGCGGGAAAGGTTGTGCACACATTTTACTTGGAAGAAAAAAAATCAACTCAAATATTCTGAACTTAATTTTCTGAAATAATGGAAACTCACTCCATTAGTTGATGATAAGTGTAAGTAAGCAGGTGCGGTGCAAGTGCCTTTGTAAAGCTCCTGAGCCCTGTTTGTCTCCGTGCTTCAGTCCTTGGCATCACCAGAGCAGAGATTGCTGGTCGTGCAGACGTCTGGATGGGGCCTGCACACGTGGGAAGTGAGATGGACATTTTCCCTTGAGTCGTTAGCGTTGGCGATCCTGGTTAATCTAACATACCACCAGAGCCTCATTATTTCCCTCAGCCCAAACCTCTGAAAATCTTTCTTGTTTGGAGTAAATGTTTAAAATTATTGGGAAAGTATAACAAAGATTAAGTTACAAAATACTCTGTTTTACATGATACATAAAGATTAGGGAACATGGTCTTGTAGAGTAATTCACTTTTTTTTTTCCCTAAAAGAACATCTTTTTTTTGTGACACATACTTAATACTGTAGCCAATTCAGTAATTCACTGAATTACTGACAACAACAAAAAAAGATGTTCTTTCCTCATATACTCACAGTCTCTTTTATATTTTCATTGAAATGTATTTTTTGGGATATATATAGAAATGTAATTACAAAGTTGCTTCTACTTTTTGTTCAGCATGCCGTTAATTTTTTTTGTTTGTTTTAACACAGAGGCAAAAGTTGTTCTCTATGCGTAGGCAGAATACCACTGTTTCATTAGGAACATGAATGTATCACCTAGTAATACAGTAGAAGGGGTTTAATTTATTTCTTGCATTAGAATTCTCCCTTCTTTAATTATG